AATATCGTTCACTTATGGGTCTTAAGATATCTTCTATATATAAATATACGGTAAGATTCGTAGCATATGTCTTTGAAGTGAATATCAAGTAAATTACAGGGTATTTGAAGTAACTTATCGATATATTCTCCATATGATATCGATATATTTTTTAAATTATATATGGATATCATCATAACACTAAACAATATTTAAATATCTTGTACACTTCAACTGCTGCTCAACTACAGGGTATTTGCGAGTGCAGTACTTTTATCTGCTGCCATCTAGCTTCTCTCAAGCACTCTGATTCAGATGCTACTTCAGTTAAAAACCCAAGATACTGCTCAATGCGTTGCCCGTTGGCCAATTCGATTGTCATTTTGAGCCATTTGGAATTTGGGACTTGAAATTTGAATTTGAATTTGCACTTTTATGTTATTATTGTTATTTGTTTTCCAATTCAATTATAATCAATTGACTTAATGTGAAAATAAGGAGTCGATCCAGTACTGCCTACCCTTGCCCAACGAAACCCTCACTCCTCCCTCGCTCCGCCCGAGTCAGTCGCCTCTACAAAAGTTCGAATTGCTGCATTCGGTTTACAAATTAATTAATTGCTGCCATATGCTAATTAAACAGCATTTTTATACTGTAATTTCGTTGGCATGCAATGCACACACACACACACACACCCTCATACACGCACACCAGAGAGGGAAAAATAAATAAATTCCAAGCGTAATTCTTTCAAATGATGTGCAACAATATTATTGGGCGCAGCGCACAGCTTATAATACATACAGACATATAAATACGAAGTTGAGGTATAGTCGACTTGAACATACCCTGCTTTCAAGTACAATAAACGAAAGTCTATTCTAACCTAAATGCAATTATTAATTATTCATTAACTTTCATTTGTGTTAAGACTAGCAGATACTCTGTTGTACTCAGCTGATTGTTGACAATTTGTGCTAGGGTATTGAGCTTAAAGCACAGAGCAGAATACCCTAGGCAAGCCCTTCTTTGTCACTTAAATGTCGCCAACTGCTTGAGCAGTTCGGGCATACCCAGCATTAGCTTAATTACAGGGTATTTGACCATAAGTATAGCCTGCAACTCATTGTAATATGTTTCGTTTATCATTTATGTCGGATTAAGGCGATGCCATCCAATACCAATTTATTTGTGTTAACAGTTAAGTGTGTGAAATTACCGTTATTATGCCTAAATGCCATTCACAGCGAAATGGTCTGCGGCGAAACATGGTAACATCTATACGCCTTATTAGCCCATACACCTAGTTAACTATCGATTCAGTCAGAGGGTAGATTCAGTGGCAGCATCGATAGACGAAAGGCAAATACCCTACACATAATGCTGTATCTTATAGTGAATATTTGGTGTATTATATTCTATATAGCAACTGTATCATGTGCTTGCTCAAGCACTTGAGGCACTTTCTTGGCATACTCTATAGAGCGTGTATCAGGTATTCGAATACAGCTGAAGCTCGTGTCTTTATTGGCTAAACGGACATTTAATAAACTATTATTTGGTATAAATTGTGGGTATCTGCGATTCGTATACTGATATCTATGTTGACTATGAAGCTTACTTTGTTGCATCAAAAACTTTCAAAAGCTTTCAGCCTATATGAAATTAATTCAAGTAAGGGCAGTGACTATCAGAAGAAGAAGATCTATAGAGAACAAATTTTAAATTGAATTTAATGTTCTAATTTTATACACTGTTTTTAATGTATATAATTTAATATATACCAAGATATTATATAACTATATACAACTAGGTAGACTATACAAAATTAATTGAACTTCAAATTGCTTAGAGATGTTGCTTGTCATCATTAGCAACATTTGCTCTGAACTAACTGTGAGTCTGGAATTCAGCTGTTTTGTCCTTTTGCGCAAGTGCAGCGTGCTTTCTCTTTTGTGCTCTCGCAACATTGGCTTGCCTAGCAACATTGTTGCTGGCCGTGCAATGCGCATGCACGCGCGCAACATGTTGCGCGCGATTGTTTTGATTTGTGCACAGCTTGTTTATGTTTATAAGCTAAACAGCCAACAGCTAGACCCACTGAACGACAGGTGGTTGTGTGCTGGGTGTATGGGTGTGGGTGCGTGTGTGCAGTGAGAATATTTATGCATAGCAATTGCTCAGTGTCGCCGTCTGCGTCGTCCAGGAGTCAAAAGTGACGCCAGTGTCCAACCGAAAGCTTCAGCATTGTGTGCTGCCGGCATCAAAGCATTTGTCATTCTGCCTGGCAGCTCTGTGTGTGTGTGTGCGTGTTGTAGTTGTTGTTGGTTGTGCGCATCTATGCAGGAATTGTTTAGGTTCCGCGTGGCTTGTGCCTTGGCGCTGCTCTCAATTCGCGCCGTTGTCAAAAGCAGATTTCGCCTAGTCGCATGCCTATTGATGTGGCCACACCCACAGGTGGGCCGTAGCCTCGTTTTTGTTCCTGATGCTTCTTCTTCTACTACTTGATGGCCCATTCACGGCACACTTCACACATTTTGCAGCCGTCGCGCTGTCACTTTCAATCTGGTCGCAGCTCAGCGCCAGCTTTGGGCATCCCAACGCCGCTGCCCGCCGGCTGGTTTGGCCTCTGCTTTGGCCACATGCCAGCAGCTGTCCTGGCCAAACACTACCTGCCACACACACACACACACATATGCATTGGTGCATGTGACTGGCTGGTGCCTGCGGCTATGCAGCATAATACGTTTTGGCTGCTGCTTTGCCTTTAAGCCGCTTACAGCCGCCGCGTGGACGCATAACTGTGCTCTAACCAGCCAAAAACGTAAGACTCAACCACCCACACCCGCAACCACCCAACCACCTAAGTACACAGCTTTCTACGCACCTCAAGCTGCGCCACTGATCCCGCACAGTCTGTTTGCGTTCGCTTGCCTTAAGACTATTCTGACTTTCAAAGCACAGTGCGTGTGTACAGTTGTGTGCAAAAGCTTTCCAGTGTTGTGCAATTGCTGTGAGAAAGCCTTAACTTATATCAATGATAAATATATGTCTGTAGACGTGTCTTCTTTTATATTAACACCAGAGAAAGGCACTCTCTTCCTCTTGCTCTTGCTCTCTCTCTCTCTCTCTCTCTCTCTCTCTGTATTTTTCTTTGTATTTTTATTTCTCTCTCTTTTTCGCGCGCGCGCTCTCTCTCTCTCAGTCTCGTTCTCTGAATCTATCTATATCTTTTCTTCTTTCTCCCTTCCTCTCTCTCTCCTTCTGTATCTATCTCTCTACATTTATCTCGTTCTATAAATCTATCTTTCTCCTTTAATTTTTCTCTCTGCTTCTCTTTCTCTGTCTCTGCTCTTTTGTTCTTCCTCTTTATATTTCGCTTTTTCATCTTTCTTTTACTCTCGATTCTTTTGTCCAAACGCAGCAGCCTCTGATTTCTCAGCAAACTGTCAAACCTCAAGCAGCTTAACTTTCTCTCAGCTTCTTTTCAGTCAGCCAGATTTGTCCCCGACTATGCGTTAGTCACAATCTGTTGCTCGTTGACTGGCTCGTGAAGGACCTAGAGCCAAAAAGGTGCTTCATTGCGTCTGGCAGCTGTAAAAAGGCTGACTGAGTCATCGACAACTGGCCACAGACTCGGGCTTCACTTGCGTCGAGTGGCCGACATTGTGCTCCCTGTTAGTTGAGCCCCTTGCAGTGCCCGCTTTTCTACTTTTTCCGCTCTCCTTTCAGGGGCATCCAATGGGAAAACACAAAGCTAAATCGCGCACAAAGCCAATTGCTTTTCCTCTCGGCTGGCGGTTGGCGGCTGGCGGCTGGCGGCTGGGTGGCAACCCTGCGCGCTATTTTACTCTCTGCTTCTTAGTTACGGATACTCATTTAAGTTGATTCACCGCATCAACAACACACACACTGTCGCAGCGACGTCAGCGCCGGCGTAGGCGTCGACAGCGACGTCGCCAGCCAATGACACTTTATGACAATTGCACTTGGCGGCTTAAAGGAGACTCAGAAGTGAGAGAAGAATTTTTGCTCTACAAAAAAATGGGTAGAAAAGAATAAATAAGAGTACAACTAGTGGAGAGCACTCTTATCTCGGATACCCTGTGCTCAGTTTCTAATTATTTCGGATATTCACAATGACTCCTGACTTGGCACTTGAGTGCAAATCGATAATTATCGATAAGTGATCTCAGCTCACTTAGCTGTTTGATCAGATACAAATCAATAACTATCGATCAGCGAGAAATACTAAATATTAGATACTAGATTAGATAGATGCCAATCGATATTTATCGATTAGTAAGTTCGCTCAAGATCTCGATTTTAGTCATTCTACACGCTGTCAAGCTCATCATATCCGCTTCTCCACAACCGTACAGGGTATCAAATAGAGAAAAAGCCAAACAAAAAGCTGCCAACGGCACGAACAAGTGCAAATCGTTCAGGGAAAACTGGCATCGCTGACGCCAACTTTGGCTCCAAAGGAAATCCGTACAAGTGGGTGAGGGGAGCGACGGGAGGGAAGGCAGCGCGATCCACTGGTTGGGCATTGCGGGCAAAAATCGTAAACAAAATGCCGGAAAAGGCAGCAACATGGCGACAACGCAACCACGTGCTCCACATGCTCCGGCAAAGTGCATGAGCACGAGTCCTCGTCTCGACTGTCGTCCTGTCTGCTGGCTTGTCGCCTTGATAATGACTTTTTGTCTTTGCTCAAAATGTCACTTGATGTCCTGGCGGCGCGCGCTCAGCGCTCATCCTTCAACTTGTCCCCGTTGTTGCTGTTGTTCCGCCCGCACATATTCGTCCTGCTGTTGGCTGTTTTGTCTATGGGCCGCCTTTGTTCGCGCCGTTTCGTTTTCATACCGTGAGGTTATTCAAGTTCATACAGCTTTCCTGCTCCTCTCCCCCTTTTCGTGTAGCCTTGATTAATTGGCCTGGGTCGTTTTGGCCTTGCCCAAGCTGTCGCCAAACTGTTGACAAACCCTCAGCCTGCTGCCTGTAGTCCAGCATTAGCTCTCTCTCGCTCTAACACACATAACTCAAATATTTTGAAAAAAAAAACTCTGTTAAAAATTCTTTTGCCAAATGCCTAGCGATCATTAGTGGCGGCGCAGCATGCAGGTAGGCTACAAGCTGCGCCGGGCGCCGCAGCCACGCCCCCTCGTCCGTCATCTGATGCGCAGCATCTTGCAGCTGCTACAGAGCACACAGCGTCCGATGCGCGATACGGAAATCGTTTCAACGCTAGCCGCGCGCCTGCATCGCAGCGATCCGGAATTCCAGCGCCAAGTGTTACTGAATCTGCACGATGCGGTCAGCTACGGCATACTGAAGCGCCAGCTGAATGTCTACTCCCTGCGCTCCAAGCAGCTGTCGGCAATCATGGACAGCCTGGCGCCAAACAGTAGCGGCAGGACCCAGCGCTGAGCATTTTGATATTCTGCAGATGACTAAAAATTACATTTGAGTGCATCGATATGTTTTATAATAAATCAAGTACATAGTGAACCAATCGATAAATATTGATCGTATATGGAAAGAATCGAGTGCAACAGCTAAGATTAGATCTAAAAATATATCGATAATACAGCCAAAAAAAGGCTGTATCGTTATCGCTGCGCGCAGCTTAATGTGAATACATTGTATACGTAAGTTTATCGATAAATATGGATTGGTCTGGTATACAGATATCTGAAAGTTAAGGCTGACTAGAGCAAAGACTTATCGATAATGATTGATGACTTATCGATAACTATCTCGAGTGTGTTCGAATGCTAATTTATTGTGTGGCACACTTATCGATGGTTATCGATTGTTGAGTCTGCCCATAAGCCTAGGTTCTATAGATAGATATCAATGCAATGTTATCGATAGTAATCGATATGTTGCGTGTTTAATGCCACGATTAGCGACTGACAATGCAATTCCAATTGACATATCTAATTCGCCAACTGCCAAAACTAATCGATAGATGGCGCTGGCTATAAAAACTAAATGAAAACATGCGAAGCGTAAGCAATTGAATTACATTTGATAAAATACAACGCAGACGCGGACGCGGGCGCGGACGGACGCACAATCAAATTTGAATAGAATTATTATTTGCGTTAGATTCGGGCGGGGTAAATAAAATCAACTGTAAAAATCTACAGATGCGTTCGGCGATGCATTCGCCATGCGCTCTGTCAAATCCAATTGAAATGCATAAATTATGCCGAGAAGTATGCAACAAATATTTTGCGCACATTGTAAACACGCGCGTTCACCTGCTGCACACGCACACACACACACACACACACACACACATGCATGCGTAATTTACTATCACTACAGAAGTGTGTGAGTGGGGGCGTGGCGTGGCTGTTAACGCTGGGGAATTTTGTCACGTTACAAATGTGATGCGAATGCATTTGTGGTAAATATTTGCGGTTATCTAAATGAAATGCGTTCCATACTTTTTGCCACACACAAATGCAAGCACACGCACACACTCGCACACACACACATCTACTGTGTAGCACATAAATCGCGCCTGAGCCATTTGCATTGAAGCGCAAAATATGCAATTAAAGCATAAATTAAGCATTTTAAATTTCAAAATCATTTTGCTAAGCGAAGAGCTCAAAGAACACTGAAAGTTTTGGCTGAGATTTCCAAGTGAATTTATAGTTTTTAGTTTTTAGTTTTTAGTTTTTAGTTTTTAGTTTTTAGTTTTTAGTTTTTAGTTTTTAGTTTTTAGTTTTTAGTTTTTAGTTTTTAGTTTTTAGTTTTTAGTTTTTAGTTTTTAGTTTTTAGTTTTTAGTTTTTAGTTTTTAGTTTTTAGTTTTTAGTTTTTAGTTTTTAGTTTTTAGTTTTAGTTTTTAGTTTTTAGTTTTTAGTTTTTAGTTTTTAGTTTTAGTTTTTAGTTTTTAGTTTTTATTTTTATGTTTTTAGTTTTTAGTTTTTAGTTTTTAGTTTTTGTTTTTCGTTTTTAGTTTTTAGTTTTTAGTTTTTAGTTTTTAGTTTTTTAGCTTTTAGTTTTTAGTTTTTAGTTTTTAGTTTTAGTTTTTAGTTTTTAGTTTTAGTTTTTAGTTTTTAGTTTTTAGTTTTTAGTTTTTAGTTTTTAGTTTTAGTTTTTAGTTTTTAGTTTTTAGTTTTTAGTTTTTAGTTTTTAGTTTTTAGTTTTTAGTTTTTTTTTAGTTTTTAGTTTTTATTTTAGTTTTTAGTTTTTAGTTTTAGTTTTTAGTTTTTAGTTTTTAGTTTTTAGTTTTTAGTTTTTAGTTTTTAGTTTTTAGTTTTTAGTTTTTAGTTTTTAGTTTTTAGTTTTTAGTTTTTAGTTTTTAGTTTTTAGTTTTTAGTTTTTAGTTTTAGTTTTTAGTTTTAGTTTTAGTTTTTTAGTTTTTAGTTTTTAGTTTTTAGTTTTTAGTTTTTAGTTTTTAGTTTTTAGTTTTTAGTTTTTAGTTTTTAGTTTTTAGTTTTTAGTTTTTAGTTTTTAGTTTTTAGTTTTAGTTTTTAGTTTTTAGTTTTTAGTTTTTTAGTTTTTAGTTTTAGTTTTTAGTTTTAGTTTTTAGTTTTTAGTTTTTAGTTTTTAGTTTTTAGTTTTTAGTTTTTAGTTTTTAGTTTTTAGTTTTTAGTTTTTAGTTTTAGTTTTTAGTTTTTAGTTTTTTAGTTTTTAGTTTTTAGTTTTTAGTTTTTAGTTTTAGTTTTTAGTTTTTAGTTTTTAGTTTTTAGTTTTTAGTTTTTAGTTTTTAGTTTTAGTTTTTAGTTTTTTTAGTTTTTAGTTTTTAGTTTTTAGTTTTTAGTTTTTAGTTTTTGTTTTTAGTTTTTAGTTTTTAGTTTTTAGTTTTTAGTTTTAGTTTTTAGTTTTTAGTTTTTAGTTTTTAGTTTTTAGTTTTAGTTTTTAGTTTTTAGTTTTTAGTTTTAGTTTTTAGTTTTTAGTTTTTAGTTTTTAGTTTTTAGTTTTTAGTTTTTAGTTTTTAGTTTTTAGTTTTTAGTTTTTAGTTTTTAGTTTTTAGTTTTTAGTTTTTAGTTTTTAGTTTTTAGTTTTTAGTTTTTAGAACATCTTTGGCTTCATGCATCCATGGATTATTTTTCCGAGTGTAGATTTTTTGTTTCGTGTTTTATTTTGATTTCATTTGAATATCAGTTTTGTTGTCTTGTTTTGTGGCAGGTCTGCAACATTGTCTGCAATTGTGAAACCGTTTTGTTTGCCATGTGTAAAGCGGTAACCACGAACAGTTTGCCACGACCCAGCGCCACCCGCCAGCCGCCTCCCACTGCCCCGCACCCATTCAGTAATTCGGGGCGTGGCTATGTAAATGCAGTGACATGCATTATTAATAAATAAACCGGCGGGCAAAACGAGATTGGCGCCGGAAGAGTTGGACAAAAATTTAACAGTTTAGTCCGAATTAGCTTTAGAGCTTTCCAAATTAAAGCTAAGCTTACGGATTTCAGATAACATTTTTAATAATAGACACAGATTAAATTGTTGCCATGGAATTCGGCATCAGCTTGGGGTTAGTGAATTGGAATAGTTTTCCATTCGATTGAGTGACTAACTGATTCGATTAAATCGACTTTATGATAGCTTTAACGCCTTACTATGCGCTTCTCATGAGCTTTCGACAATTTAAGCAATTTGAATAATTCTCTTTTTATCTTTTACCATATTTCTCTCTCTCTCTCTCTCTCTCTCTCTCTTGCCTGTGTTGCTTCACATTATTGCTCTAGCTTTCGCTTAGATTTCCATTTTCCTGCTTATTTCGCTTGCCTAATTGCGAACGGAAACGGAACTCATAAATTTACGCAGCTCTAACGGCAAAAATGAGACCGAAATATATCAAAATGGGCAACTGAAAAAAGCAAAACACATGAAAATGCCATAAATTAAACATAATCGTAAATTAAAAAGTAAATCATATAAAAGTGTATAGAAGAGACATTGAAGTAGCACCGAAGTGCAAATACCCTGAATAGCTGTGATCGATGAATTTCACTGATTGATGAAACTGTTTACGGAATGAATTGAATTGTGTAATTGCCCCGACGAAGGGATTGATGGATTGGAATAGTGCAGCAATAGACAGATTGATAAATTGATTGAGTCAAAGATGACTACATAAGCGAGCAGAGAGAAAAATAACAGCAAGCAGGAGTGGACCACACGGGACGAGTCGGTGCTGCTCTACGGACGGACGGACGGACGGACGGACGGCTGATAATTGAGGACAGACAAGCGTACTGACAGACGGTTAAGGCTAGATCAGCTCAGCTATTTATGCTTTTACGTAATAGTACTACGTGCTAGCCATGGATGTTATACTGTTATTATTTACAGGGTATCTTCCTTGCTTCCTTGCTTCCTTGCTCGCCTCAGCTTGCAGTAATGATTTGCTGTTGAGTTCAATAGATATCAATAGAGTAGTCTAACAAAATAACTACCAAAGTACAAAAAGCTGAAAGAAGCAGGACAACAACAACAGCAACAATAACTGCAACAACAGCAACAACAACAACTTGTTGACATTTTGAGTCAGTTCAAGTGACAAAGGCGCTGTGCTTGCCCAGTTGCCTGTGTAGCTGCAAAGTTCAAGACCTGTGAACTTGCCAGAAAATAAAAACACTAACAACAACAGTAGCAACAGCAACAACTACAACAACAGCAACAACAGCTGCAACAGTCGTCGCGCACTTGTAAATTTCTTATGAACTGCGTCCGCAACACACACGAACTTAACAGCTAGCTAAATGTGTGTGTGTGTGTGTTTTGTTGACTGTGACTGAGTCTGTTGTTCCTGTATTTACTGTAGCTGTTGTTGTTGCTAGCAGCAGCAGCACGCACAATTAAATCAAATTACCTCAAGTGCACTCAGCGCTTTGTCAACGTCTCGAGCCAAGGCTCAGTAATTAAGCACAGTGGGGCCTTTTACCTTTTCGTGTTCTCTCCTTTCCTCCCTCCCTCCCTCTCTCCCTCTCTCTCTCTCTCTATAGTTGTACTGCTTCCGGCACTGGTCATTCAACCTCAAACACTCACACATAAGTTCTATTTGAGTAACTGACACTGAATTTGTGAAGAGCTGTAATTGAAATCGCTTTTTTAGCTTGAGCCTTAGCTCAACAGTGGACACAGCTAGCAGATACCCTGTAGCAAATAGTAGCTGTTGACTTCATTAATGGGGGAACATCAATTAAAGTTAAAGCAATTGGCTTGCAATCTTCCTCTCGTCTCGAGCCAACGAGGCATAGATCGACAGGCTGAGAATAAGAGGTATCTGAAAATCGAGTAACTTACATGCAGTCAAATACACGATGGCCTTTGTCTTTTGCAGGGTATAATGATGCCATGTCGCCTAGGGAATCAAAGTGCATATGTGTGACAAGCTGGCAACAAGGGCGGATAACAAAGGCGTCGTCTGCCGATGAAAAGAGCAAGGAAGTTGTCAACGTGGCGAGGGCGGGGTAAAGCAAGTATAGGTTGCTAGGTAGTAACTAGAGGGTAGACGGTGCAGGTCTAGATGGAGTGTGCTG